AAAAAAAAAAAAAAAAAAAAAAAAAAAAAAAAGGAAAAAGGATACTCTAAATGACATATGGCCATCTACAGCACTCTGTGACACTGCCATCTGAAGCCCTGGGTGAATGTGTTTTTATGAGGAAATTACGTAGCTTTCTGTCTAAATCTGAGCATTCATATCTGTGTATTCTGGCCAGAAACCCTCTACAGGCTCTGAGTCACCAGTTTTAAATATCTTATTAAATCAATTTTCGCATCTCACACTATTTATTTATTTACTGTTTGTAACTGAAGAAAAAGATTACCTAAAATGTAAAACACAGGGGAGTTAGCCAGTTGGAAACTACTTAAATGGATTACTTATTGTTACACAGTGGGTGCAATGTATGAGTAACGCGACAAGTGAAGAACTCTACCACAACGCTAGCAGATGGAGCAACACGCTACAGAGCGGTATTCTGTGATTTAGCCGAGAAACTGCGCGTGACCCCAGGAGAGGCCTTCCGGGCTTAGATGGCCACGACCAACTGCTCTGCTCCTGAAGCTCAGTCTGCAGTGGTCAAAAGCAGACACTCCTGGATCTGTAGACCCTGGCGAGACCCCGAGCAGCAAATCTTCCGTAATTCTTGCTCTGCTCTGTGCACTTGAGTCAAGTGAGAATTTCATAGGTCACCTATTAGTTGTTTCCATTGTGTGTTCCATTCCAACATACAATGACTTACAAACAGTATTCTAAAGATTAAATACTTGCTGTAACATTAGCTTGACTATACAATAACTATTTATATCTAAATCTGTATATTTATCTCCCTATATCCTTACTGTATATCTATACTAGTTAAATGCACAGAAAAAGCACCGTTATGAGACTGAGACAATTTGTTTGACTAGGAATCCCAACAATTTGCAATGCTGAGCACATTTTAAAGGCTATAACTTCAAATGAGTTTTTACCATAGATTGTATTAATACTATATTGATATATTTATTTTAGACACGCAGTTATTAACTACTCTTCTAACAGGGTTTTAGTTTTTGTTTTTCACTTGTTATATGACTAAATGAGGAACCTATTTTATGCATCTTTAATTTATACCTCATTAATTTGATAAAAAGTAAAGCAACTGAAAAAGCAATGGGGATGTTAATATTCTCAGAAAGATTTGACCAGTACTCTTCTCTGTCTAAATAAAATTCTAAGTTCTTAAAGGAAGTCAGTGTCTACATGAGTAAGGGGGTGAAAAATAGAACCAAATGAATCAGGTATAAAGCCCACATAAGTTGCTCAAGTATACGACTAATCACGTTATCTGGCAATATATTGATAATAAAATAATTGTTTACTTTTTATGTCCATATCATATGCAGAGTATGGAGGAAAGGTGAGCCACTTAACATTTCAATAATCTGATTAATAACATTCTTAAGACCATTAATCAGGAAGGAAAAGGTTTATGTAGGGGGTTGGTTTTGAGTAAATTATGTCTCAGAGAATATGCTGTTTTACTGCCAGGAAGATATATTTAAAACTTTTTGTGTTAATTTTGCAATTTAAAGTAAGTATTGGGACTTCCCTGGTGGCACAGTGGTTAAAAATCCTCCTGCTAATGCAGGGGACATGGGTTCGATCTCTGGTCCGGGAAGATCCCACGTGCCGTGGAGCAACTAAGCCCATGTGCCACGACTGCTGAGCCTGTGCTCTAGAGCCCATAAGCCACATCTACTGAGACCTCGTGCCACAACTACTGAAGCCTGTGTGCCTAGAGCCCATGCTCCGCAACAAGAGAAGCCACCGCAATGAGAAGCCCGCGCACCGCAACAAAGAGTAGCCCCCGCTCGCCCCAACTAGAGAAAGCCCGCACGCAGCAACGAAGACCCAACACAGCCTAAATTAAATATATATTAAAAAAATAATAAAGTAAGTATGAACCACCCTTATTCCATTAGTTTTGTGTTTGATAAAATGCAAATAAAAATGTAATATTCATTGAGAGGAGCATGTAAACCATGGAAATATACACCTTTATTAAGCATTAAGGCAACATTAAATATATGCTTCTAATGTTAATCTCAGGTTTTTCCCACTTCTTACATAAACCCTTGCAGAAGCAGTGATGTGTCCAAGAAGGCAAAAAATGACACTTCCTCAAATACAGTCAGAACACCCTAGGGAATGTAGATGGCCATTATCAAGCTAAATGATATTCATTAGTACATAGTGTAACAACCATTCTTTGAGTGTGATGTTTCAGTGAATTATCAATTATTTACACTGAAACTCTCCAAGGAAGCTGGGAATTCAGGATGACTCTATAAGACAATCCAGTACAAATAATAAAGCACCCCACTGACCTCAGGATTCACTGCCTAACTCTTGGGCCATGTGTAGATTCTCCACAGACAGCTTCTCTAGTGCTAACTATCTCATCATTAGCAAAGATAGGAAGAGCTCGCTCATGCTTTCTACTACCTCCAATTACTGCAGAGTCACTCTTGATTGTGTTAGTGACGGGTTCTCTGTCATCTCTTGTTCCAGAATGATCTGCAGTTAAAGGACAGAAAAGGGGGAAGAGGGGGATATCAGTGAGCAAAAAGAAGAAATGTTTAAAAATTCATAAACTTTTAAAACCAGAAGAGAATTATAGAGGTCAATGTGGGATGTCTGCAATTTTAACCTTAAGCAATGCCCACATGCAATGGTCCACAGGAATAAAGAATTGAGAATCTAGGAGAGAAACGGGAAAGGACTGAAAATTAAACAAAACCAATTTCAAGAAACCATCTTGAGAACACAGAGTCCCAGCATTAAAAGATTTTAATATCCAGTGGACAAAGCTGTGTTTGGGACTGGGTAAAAGAAGAGCCATAGGCCACCTGCAAAGGAGTGTGTCCTCTCCCTTGATGTGGCATCAGTGCCAGCCTGGGCCACACAGCTGGACTCCGTCACGTGTCCTGAGATGGTGATGGGGGCTGGGCGGCTGCGGTGCAGAGCGGCCTTCAGCGGGACCACGTGGCTGACCTGCACAGCAGAGAGACAGCCCAGGAAGCCCTGTGCACCTGCCAGCGCCGTCTCCTGGTCCACGTCACTGTGTTCTGTGAAGCCAAAGAAACACCACAGGATTGATGACAGTGAAGGTGCAAACGGGCAATGCCACAATGGAATATTCCAAGTCTGGACAACGCAACAGCAATACATACTCAGCTGTTAAATCCCTTTTACTTTTGTCTTTATTACAAGAGATCCATTCAATCTTTCCACAACTACTGGTGAGACATCCCAGGTTAATAAAGACAAGTTTTTAAGTATGGCTAATTAAATATACTGAGAGCTCTCTGGAAATAATTAAAGTCTCTACAAGAATGGGTCAGATAATGAACTGATCAGGGTTCCTACAAGATGTTATCATATTAGAGGTTGTATCTCAAAAGCTTTTAGAGACTCTTAATTCTTCACGTACAGCAGTGAAAACTTTCATACCTCACTGACTTTTCTCCCTGTTTCACTGCCCACCTATCACTCAGACTGAGATATGTGTGTGCCCCCTATACATAGATAACTTCCCTCCATTTTAATGAGCATTTAGTTAATATGGAACTATTGTGGGACAGAGATTGGTTTGAGTGTCAAGATATTAATTCATAATTTTACAGTGAAGAAGATATTTCATGCTTGGCAAGCATGGAATCTACACAAGGGGAATTAATTGTAGACTTTTAACGTTCAAATGTTATCAGACTACGATGCATCCACCCATCCTACATGATCATAAAGCAGCAAAGACTACCTTCCCCTGTGCTGCACACACCGGGACACCAACATCTGCATTTCGGTCTTTTCAAAAACGAATATAATAAACATTGTATTTACTGAATGCTTATTATACGGTAGGCAGTATTCTAAGGGATTTGCATGCTTGTGTTTAAACCTTACAGAAGCCATGAGTATCCTATTCTAGTCACACAGACAAGACCCTTTAGGTTCAGAATTTTAGTGATTTGCCTGAGGTTAACTCAGCTGTTGGCATTGTGCACTGGACTCCAGGCCTGTTGGACTCCAAAATCATAAGCTTCTTTTGTTTATAACTGACACATTCTTTCCTTCACTTACATCTTCTGCGGTACATTTTTTTTTTTTTTTTTTGGCTTGATATCTATTCTTGAAATGACTCTGGGCAACTCTGTTCTGATTGAGCCTGTCTTGTTATATCAAGGTTTTTGAAGAACACTTCCTTCTGCCCCAATTTCATGCACATTTTATACCATTTTAATAAAAATACTGATTAGATGTTTAGCATCATGAATATCACACTCTAAAAAATCTGAAAATTAGACAGATTACATCACTTTCCTGTTGTGCTGGGGGATACAGTATTCAGACCCAGGTATCCTAGCTCTGGAGCCTATGTCCTTACCACTAGGCTGTCCTGCCTCGTAGCACAAAAAGCCCGGAGAGGCTATCACTCTGCTGCTCCGTGAGCACACAGGGAACCCTCAACACCCAGCACCACACAGTTACATAGGAGGCGCTTCATCAATGTGTATAAACCAAAGAACTAACTTAGTGCCACCACACAGCAGTCACTCATTTGAATGGATGGAGATACATTCAAATATACACATTTTTAGAAAAAGACAGCATTCTTGCTTTGGAGTTTTTTGGTTTATTTTTTATTTTTTTACTTTAACAAGGAATAAAAAGGAATACACTTTAATAGCAACATAATCAGAACAGTGCTTTTCATATTTCTTCTACAAGGTTTAAATCCTGAATAAAATTTCTATAGACCTTAAAAAAAAATCTTACCTTTTGAACAACAACAAAAAAAGTAAATAGATAAAATTCACTTCTCTGGTAAAAATTCGATATGAGGCAACTTTTAAAAACCCTACACCTTTAAACTGAAAATATTTACCTATTATAAAATATTGTAGAAAAAAGCTTTAAAATCTAAAACTTAAACTAGTCTGTCAATTAATATTTGTTTTAAGAGCTAAATATACAGGCAACACATTCCCTGCTGTTTGAGCATCTTACATTCTAGTAGGGGAGACAGACAATAAACATGAAACAGGAATGGATGAAAATTCTGAAGACTGATAATGCCATGAAGAAATAAATTAGAAAATGTGATGGAGTGTATCTGGAACAGAAATTTATCTTGATGGATTAGGTGATTCTTTGTGTGTCTATTTTAAGGATGACTCTGCACAGCCTATTCTCTTAATCGTCTGTAGATATTTTACTCCAGCATCTTCTGGCTCTAACACTTCGTTCTTAAACTTTGTAAGATTCCCTGTGATTTAGGAATTTTTATCAGATTGTCCCTGCTGTTTATCTCCTCTCATCTATTACGCATAGATCACGGTGGCCCCTTTTAATCTGCAGACACAGGATTTTCTTTAGCTTGGAAAATTTCATATGCTGTGCAAGCAACTACTGTTTCACTTTCATCCTTTTTAACCTCTGGACTCTGCCGAGTATTCACGTTGGGTCCCCTCTGCATATTCTTTAACTGCTTTTAATCTCCCTTCTGATTTCTATCTTTTAGGACTTGTTTTTATGTGGGTCAAGCGCTTCACTCACTTGCTCTTCCAGGGGACGATTTCAAGTATCCACAGAGATCATTCTTTTTTAGTCTGGAAAAATCATACTTGTAGTTCCTCTAGGTCTTTCTGCTGCTTTGCTAGAATTTCCTTACAGTGCTCTTACTTAGTTTCATTCAGGATGGGGTCTGTCTCCTTGCATAGCTTCATTCTGGTTGTTTTGGTTTCTCTCCCACTTGATTGCTGTTGAATCAAGGGTTGTATATAGGGTTGTTTTTCTCATCTGCTAGTTGATTCCCTGTCACTGCCTTCCTTAGGTGGCTGACGCCCAGAGAAGGTAGACAGCGTAACAGCTGTCCTTGTCAGTGAAGCTGCCATCCAAATGCCCACCCAACCTCAGGATAGAGAGGTCATGGTCCAAATTTCAGGATTCAGGAAATCCTCACATTTCAGGTCATTCTCTCCTCGGCAAAGAGGGAACACAGAAGCACTGAGTTTTCAATGCTGCCCTTTCCCCACGGGGTCCAGGGGTCTCTGCAAGCCAAGCATTTTCCAGGATCCTCACAATTCAGGGTCTCCCTTAAGACTCTTCTAGGCTGGTCCCCAGACTCTCTTCCAACCAGAAGCAGGGAGTCTCACAACACTGTCTCACTGGCAGCACCCAGGCACCCCACCTGGCTGCACTAGACCTTCAACTCCCTCGTTTCAGGAAAGTCAATGGGTCGGAACTAGAATCTGGAGAGAAAGGGAACTATGGGACTTAGCATCCATCCTCCCAGAGTTGAGTCCAGATGAAGTTAACAGCTATATTAAGTTGCTTATAAGCAGTACATAGTATCAGAGAGCTGCACTGACAACTGTGTTCATAAAGCCAGTGAACAAAAACATTTATCTTTCCTATTATCTGACTCCTGAAAATGCCAACAACATGTAAGGGTTAGAACAGGACAGGTGGGGGAATTGTAGATAAACACCTCTTACTTCATTGAAATCCTGATAAGACAATTGTGTTTGGGATGTTTCCGGTTAGAAAAATTCTTAACTGACTCAGAGTTTGCAGGTGGTCTTGCCTGTTAAAAAGTTAGCCTCAACTGTATCTTCCAACCAAGGGAATGGCTTCTGCTTTTGCAAAGAAATCTACCAAAAGTTCTGCAAGAAAATAGAGTAACAAGAAAGTAAAATCCGTATGAAGCGCCTTTCCATTTATTACGCAGAGAGAAAGGATATGACGTAAATGAAAAACAGTTAAAACAAGAAGCACTTCATGAAACTTCCTGTGGCTGTCAAAACAACAACAACAAGGAAAAACAAAACAAAACAAATAACTCAAAAGAAACCTAAGTAGTTTGGCCACACCTATGGAAAAGGGGCCACCTTAAAAAAGGATCTCAATACCTTTAATCCATAAAGATAAAGAAAGCTTGCCAGAAAACGGTGCAATGAATCAAAGGAGCTGTGCTAAGGACCAGCAGGACATTTTTACCATCACAGGCAATTACAACAAGGATTCAACAACAACAAAAGTTGGTGGAGAAGTCAAATGGCAAAGCAGACAGCAAATACTGTGTGGATAAAGGAGCAGGTTTTTTTATAAACAGTATTTATTTGCCAACCAAGCCTACTGCTCTGAGATACAACCTTGAGAACCTGATTAATGTACAAACTATTTATAGTGAGGCATCTCGGGGTAATCTGAGCTTCTCTTTTGCTTTCAGCATGAACTGTGTCATCTGAAGTGTCATCTGACTGGACATTTACAAAATCACAGTGTCCTTAAGTAACTGAATTAAACTTTCTTAGGTACCCTTTGGCTTTGAAGCAGGTTTTATATAAAATGTCCCTGAGATTGAAGTCCGTTCCTGAAGCTCTTCCGTGAGATGCCGTAGACATCCTCTTTCTTCTGACCACATACATTATTTACATCTGGCCTAGATCTCCACTGCAGAAATCTGAGTTACTTCCTGGCTCTGCAGCCTCAGAAGAGATAAATGATCCCTA